CTGCAATGCGATGCTGCGGCTAGTAAAGTGACCAAAACGCTGGCTTGCATCCATAGATGCTTCTCAAGCAAATCCCGGGACGTCATTCTCCCCCTGTACTCGGCCTTAGTGAGGCCGCAGCTGGAGTACTGCTTCCAGTTTTGGGCTCCACAATTCAAAAAGGATGTGGAGAAGCTTGAGAGAGTCCAGAGAAGAGCCACGCGCATGATCAGAGGTCAGGGAAGCAGACCCTACGATGACAGGCTGAGAGCCCTGGGGCTCTTTAGCCTGAAAAAGCGCAGGCTCAGGGGTGATCTGATGGCCACCTACAAGTTAATCAGGGGTGACCACCAGCATCTGGGGGAACGTTTGTTCACCAGAGCACCCCAAGGGATGACGAGGTCGAATGGTCACAAACTACTACAAGACCGTTTCAGGCTGGACATAAGGAAGAATTTCTTTACTGTCCGAGCCCCCAAGGTCTGGAACAGCCTGCCACCGGAGGTGGTTCAAGCGCCTTCATTGAACACCTTCAAGATGAAACTGGATGCTTATCTTGCTGGGATCCTATGACCCCAGCTGACTTCCTGCCCTTTGGGCGGGGGGCTGGACTCGATGATCTTCTTACCTGTGGGTGAGCTCGGCCTGCCCAATGAGCCATCCCTGAACAATGTGGTTCATGGTCCCCATGATCTCCCTTGCCATGTGGGAATCATGCAGCATGTGGCTTGCAATGGAGCCCACCAATGGCCTGACTGATCACACCAGTGCCCTGTGAGGGAGAGGTAGGCTGATCGCCCCCCCAGCTGCTCCAGATATTGGAGGTGAAATGCAAGGCTACCGGCAGCCCTGACTTGCGCAGCTCCTCCCTCAAGTACTCCCTGCATGCCACATAGAAGGATGGTGGTGCTCTCCCTGTAAAGGTGGTGCATGTGGGCACTTTGTAAGATGGGGCCAGAAGTGCTATGATCCACCTGAACCCTGGCTACTCAACTAGGGAGAAGGGCTGGCTATCCAGAGCAAGCATCTCCCCGGTCTGGGTGATCTTGCTCACCTCTGCAACTCACCCCGCTCTGTCTTCAGCTTTCCCTCACAGGGTGGCCTGTCTCTGCTTTGCGGGGAGGGGGACTTTGGATTGAGTGGGAGACTTCCCTTTCAGCAGTCTCACACAGGTGCCAGGCTGAGCAGCAAGAAGGGCAGAGGGGTGCTGCCTTCTGAGATGCAGCAGCATCACCATGGTGGAAAAGTGGTTCATTTCCTTGCACAAGCTGATGTGCCTGCGGCAGTGCTGGCAACTGGCAAACCTGGGATCATCTGCCAGCTCAAAATGCTCCCACACTATGCTACTCACTCACTTCTGGGTTGAGGGTGAGGATGTTGCCTTTTCCCACTCCTCAGCAGGCTGAGGCACAACAGCAGGAGGAGCTGCCTCAGCTGAGCTACTTGCCTCCACAACCTCAACCTCCTCCGAGATGCTGCTTTCTGGAGGAGACCTAGGCTTAGGGGAAATTTGAGGGGTGTGAAGCACAAACTCGGATTCCTCCTCAGTCCCCAGAATTGCTTGAGCTAGTGCGCTCCGCATCCCTAGTTCCAGCTCCAGCTCCTCCTCTGGCACTTGGAGTCTCATGCTGAGAGATGACATTGGGGTGGAGGAGACAATGTTTCCACTGCTGGTGCCTATTTCTGGACTGAGGGGAGGTGATGCAGTTGTAGGGATGTCAGGTGCAGACACTGCTTCCATCTCCTTGCTTCCACTGGCAGCACAAATGTTATGGCTGCCTGGGAAGAGAATGTGTCTATTTGGGGCAAGGGGGAACTTGCAGCTGTAGCTCTCCCCCTATCCCCTCTCCCTCCCCTGCCAGAAGACCTAGCACCTGCCTTTCCAGCACACTTCATATAAATCTTTCCTGTGCTGCAAAAGGGGGGGAGGGGGTATACACACTACTCACTTTGTGTTGCGTATGTGCACCGGACTCTTCTTTGATTGTTTGATTCAGTAATAATAAGTATTAAGAACTATGTAAAAAATGTGTGATGTCTGTCTGTCAGTCTTCTCCTCTGTGATGTATTTATTTAGTGTGAGTTATGAATGTGAAGGATGACTCTGTCTGTTCTTTTTTTTTTTCCCCCTCTGTTGTTCCCTCCATGCTCCATGAGTGCGCTGGACTCTTCTTTGATTATTAAGAACTATATATGGTGTCTTCTTCTGTGGTGTTCTATTAATGTGAATGCGTGACTACTACTGTTGTAATATGTACCTAAGATGATCTATCTCCTTCTCCTAAGACCCTGAGTTCTGTGTTAGTCTCAAACTGAATCTGACTTCTGTGTTGTCTTCAGTCTCTATGTGAACTAACAATAATAATAATAACTAACAACTGCTATATCTAATCTGACTCTCTTCTTCTCCTATGAGTATCTGATTTTTCTTCAGGTGTGTGTGTGTGTGTGTGTGCGCCTCCCTGCAGTGATGGATCATGCTGGCAGAGAAAACAGAGCTTTCTTTGTTTGAAGTGTACAAAAAGAAAGAGCAAATATAGATTGAAATAAATGAATTGAATAGTATTAAGAATGCTAAGCTAAGCAAAGCTAAATCCTACCCAATCCTTTTTAACAACAAAAAGGAGCAGGGAAGTAGCAACTCCTGACTATAAAGCAGGCCAGGCAGTGCACAGTACCTTTCTCATGCTGTTCCCCAGACAGTACCAGCTTACAAAAGGCACAGCAAGCCTGCACACAAAGGCTCTTATGCTGTTTCTATGTCCCTCCCCCAGACACTGTAATTGGAAAGGCAGTCAGAGAGAAATCTTGCTTACTAGCCAACTAGACATGTCAGTCTTCCCCACCCCCCACTCCTCCTCCCTCTTAAGTTTCTGTTTCCTCATACAGACAGCCCTCTGAACTGCTGAATCGATTCAGAAGCTCCGAATTGATTCAGAAAAACAGCCAGCGATTTGATTTGGACATGCTGATTTGGCATCCAAATCTTTTCTGAATCCAAATTGCAGTCCAGAGCTTCACATAACCTTCTAACATCTCTTTCAGTGTATATCTTTGCAACAACATTTTGCTACAGCACACCATTAAGCATTCTGAATATAATTTTTAGATATGTAACTGTAAGCATTAATGCTTCAAGTTTGCAATTTCCAAAGTTCTTTTTAGCATTCAACCAAGGAAATGAAACGGTGACAAACAACAAAAATGGTTGTCGGAATTCTACATACCTGCCATGACCTTTTTTTTGTTATATTTTATTTAATAAAATGCACTAGATATAGATTAATTTTTTTTCCTTAATATTTTATTGTTTTTCTGCCTTGATAAGGAATTGCAAACGTTTTGAAAAATGGACTGAAAAAGTGCTTGGCTTTATTTCTATGTAGTATCTTTAAATAGTGCTATGTGTTTTGTTGAAATGCTATTATGTTGCACTATTCCCCAGAGGAATTGGCAACATATTAATGTATTCTCTAGAGCAGCAATACTCTTCTGGGGATTAATTGTTCTTTGAAAATGGAAAATAAATCGGTGACGCAGCGGCTACAACAACAATCTGACCCTTTCTGATACCAGGAAATGCAAAACGTAGATAAAAAAAACATTTCCAGTGCCCATTCTACATAACTCGGGACAGGGAAAGAAGGGATCCATGGCTGCCATCTTCATCCCAGTGACTCAAACAGGCTCTATGTACATAGTGTTGAATCTACAACCCTCCCTCCAAAAACAAACAACCCCCCCAAAAAAGCTGAAGGTTTCATGCAGTGCAATATTCTGTGGCTCTGTCCAAAGTCCCACCTTTTGAAAAACTCCCTGCAGAGTGTACATAGTGCCCTGAGTGACTTCACTATTCCAGCCTGTTTCTTTTCAGGCACGGTGATGTCACAATTCCACTGCAACAGTGTCCTTCTGTCTGAGGAAGAGGGAGGAGATGGGGTTAGAGGTTTTTCACTTCTGTACCTAAATCTATTTGAAAAGAATGGGAAACAGTCCTTTGACATTGAGGGTGTTTCAATAAAGCCTAACCTAAACTACTAGGAGGAAAATACTCATTTATCTTCCTGGCTTACAGGTTCTCTGTTATTGTGCAGAAATAATAGAACCATGTAAACTTCAGTTCTTCCAAAAGACCTTATCCAGATTCAGTTCCTAGTCAGACACTCTACCCATGAACTACTCATGATGACAAAGAACAATGAATGATTTAGATTAATGGTTGCTCATCAACTTGCATTTAGCTTATTTATGACAGAACAGCCCTCATTATTGAAAGAGACCTTATTACCTACCACACATCAATACTCCAAAAATTACTAATGAAAATAAATCCTCTACCTCTGAGTAATACTGCCAATTTAAAAAAGAAAAAAGTGCATAAAGAACATCTCTGCAAATGAAAAAAAGGTTAAATGACAAATAATGAAAATGGGTTAAGTAGAGAAAAGGTCATTGATGTTCACTTTCATTCCAATATGATTTTAATGAAAAGATTTTAAAGAAAAAAATGCATCTAGATCTTCAGGGGTGCAGCACCAGCTTGTATCAAACTGAAGTCAGATATGCCCAATCTGAGGATCTGGCCCATAAAAGGGTTATAACAGCGAGAGAGAGCAAGTGGATTCTCATCTGGGCTGGAGGAAAGAAATGCTGCAAATTGGCTGTTCTTCCTTTTCAAACCCTGTCTATAATGCCCATCTGCAGGAATTTGTACATATGTAAATCAAAACAGATTAGGAAAATTTTAATAATGGTTCATCTGCTGTTCACTCAATTTGTCTCCTAAAAAGATGTACTTCTCAGATTCCAGCACACTAATCACTCAGAGCCATGACAATATCATAGGCCCACAATTGTACTAGGAAGGCCCCTATCTGGCCATCATCCCAAGCAAAGAGCATGAAGTTGACACAGTCTTATGCCACCTTAGATTCCAGTCAATTTTTAAGTTACAGTACCTGATAGGAAAAGGGAGGAGAAAAACAAGGAATAAAATGCAGGCTTGGAATTAGTTACTTAACATTTTAATTGGTCTGTCTCCTGATGTTAGGAAGAAGTAGACTGCCGCATCACTTGAAGGCTCTGCCTAAGAAAAATGAGAACATTGTATTTAAAAATCAACAATAGGTTTCTATTATGAATATAGATTCTGATTCCAATTTTTTAAAATGCTAAAATACATTTACATTTGATTTTCATGTGCAGTAATTTCATTATTCAGGCCAGAAATTAAATAAACCAAGAGCAGAATTTCAAAAGGGGAGGAGGAGAATAAAACAGCATACACAGGAATGAAAACTGAATGGCATGCATTTATAACTGGTGATGGTCTGTGCAGTAAGAGGAGTTTCATCACCTGAAATCCAGAGATTTTCAAACTTCCTAAAGTCATGGAACCCCTTTTTATCACTTATTTTGCCACAAAACCCTTATTCCTTTTCTAAAAACTGATTCACTACCAGGTGACCCAGCCCATAGTAGTGGTGTACGAACTTCTAGCTCAGGAGTAGGCAACATGTTTGGCCAGAGTGCTAAAAAACCCATAATATCTACTGTGTAAGGTGCCAGAGTGCTGGTATGCCAGAAAAACAAAACCAGGGCAGGGGGTATATAGCAGGCACACTGCATGATAATATAGTTAATAATCAAACACGTTGGGTTTTTTTGGTTGGTACCAGCATCTTCCTGAGGACTGGCTTTACTTTAACAGTCCCACCCTAGGGCAGACTAGCTATCTTCCCCCTCTCCTCTTTCCTTTTTTTTTTTTTAAAGGAACACAGCTCAGGAGGAAAAGAAGGAGAGACAAAAAAGGAAAAAATAATCTTAACCAAGAGAAAAGAAAAACCCAGATGGGAATAACAGGGCAGGGCCCCTCCAAGACTCGCTGCCACTTCTTTCTTTTAGAGTCTCTTTCCTGCCTCTCGCTGCTGTTGCAGTCACTCCATTCTGTCAGCCTGCTTCCTGGCAGGCTATCTGCTTTCCACATTATGGCAGGCCACTGTTGGTGCCTGGCACTTTAAGGGCTGAACTGTGGCTGCCTATATAAACAGAGAAGATTGCTGTTGCCAGGTCAGGCAGAAACATTGCCTGACTGAACTGCTGAATGGAACATCTTCAGGTAGGAGAAGGAGGCTCTGGGTCCTAAGCATGACCTAAAACTGCACCCTGCTGGGAGTGGATGGCCTGGTCAGGCTCCCAGTGGTGCAGGAGCCTCCAGGAAAATGCCATACCAGTTACCACCCAGGTGGAAGATGGGTTGGGGTGCCTCAATAACCCCTAGCCCTCACATCACTGTAGGTAGCAGTTGAGGCCAGGCATGGCTATGGCCACCTGAGCCCCCACTGGGGATGGAAGCCCTGTAGCCCCAGTGAGGGGGTGGAAGATATAGATCCCCAGTAAAGGTAGGCCCCAGAGCAGGGGTAGGGAGGTGGAGCCCTAGTGAGGGGGAAACGAAAGGATTGGGAGCCGTGTGTGTGTGTGTGTGTGTGTGTGTGCGCGCGTGTGTGCGTTTGCTTGCTTGCTTGCCCTGGGGATGGGACAGGGCAAGCTTGTCCCTGGTTGGATTATTAGCTGGCCATTACCCCAGTGAGGGTCATGGGAGAGGCCCAAAAGATGGTATGTCTGCCACCCAAGGTGTGCGCTAGATAAAGTCTATGGCTGAAGGGGCCCACTCTGAGAGGGAGCAAGGTGGTATAAGTTGTCAATGCATGAAAAAGACCCTGTGAAAGGGGGAGGAGCATGAGAGGCCTAGTGAGAGGAGGGAAGTATGAACGTGTGTATCTGAGACCTGACAATGAGGGCTAAGCTTGGTCCAGCTGTAGGCTGGGAGCATTATGTCACTTGGATGCCATCTGCAAGGTTTGGGCTGCAGTGTAAGAGAGGAATGGAGCCCCAGATAGTGCCCCCTGGCATCGGGGCAAGAATGGGCAGCCTCTTGCCTAATTGGATCCAATTAAGAAACAACAAGGTGTGGCAGGAAAGGAGGTGGGTGTGGGTCCAGTAACGGGTGGGTGGGCCAATGGCAGACTGGCAATGAGAGAGTCCCCTGTTGCACACATCTAGGGTTTCCTCAGCTGCTTTTCTCCTAGAACCTGGTTCCTTATCTCCTGTCTTCTGTGGGAGCTTGACAGCTCTGGCCACTTCTTGTTCTCACTCATCTGTCTTGACTCCTCTCCTTTCTGCTCTTCTCTGGGGCCTGAAGTGTCAACACCAATGCCCCTTCTCCTAGTCTGAAAGGAACATGTGTTTCTTAACCTTTTGTGCTGGTCCTTCTCATCATGGCAGCTCCCCACTGTGAGGAAGGTAACTACTTCATGTTCCTGTCTCTCCAGGCTCTTCTCAGTACCCCCTTTTCTGCCTTCACAGAAAGCAATAAAGAAAAATCTTGTTACCAAAATAATAGTACAGTCTGCTTATCTTGTGATATTTACCAGGTGGATATAATCATTAATTATATTTTAATGAGTTCAGCATTTTAAGAGATTATAAGGAGCTATGTAATACAAACTAAGGTTTACATAGGCTATAAATAAAAGAATCGATTTTATTATTCAGCATATAAGTACATTTCTATTGTCTCTTCTATTATGCTTGCATCTAAAGCAATAGCTGGGAGTGCTTCTCAAAGAGATGTTGAGCATCTGCCATTTAAATATTTATATAATGGTCCTGATAAATGACGTCTACATAAGCATCCTTTTTAGCATGTAGGTATAATGAAATAGGTAAATGAATACATGAAATATTACAGGGGTGTAGGTTGTCTCCAATCTCTCAGTCCTGATCCTCAAAGGAAACTTACAGAACACTTCCCAGAGACAAGCCTATGAACTCCACTTCATCAACCTCCTGGATACTAAAAAGCATGGACTAAATATAGACATTGGATTTATGACACATTATAACCTGCCTGGCATCTGACTCCCCAGGTATCTATCCACTTTCATCCCCCTTCTCTCTCTTTCCAACCCCCCCACCCCAGCCTGTCTCTCACCCATTGACTCCTCAATCTACATTTTCACTGACTACCTGTCTTGTATGCATACCAGCCTGGCCGCTGGCTTGTTTACTTTTTATTCCATTCAGGAAGAGCACACACCACCTGCTGAAACTTCCTCAGCCTGATGAAGGGTCTTTGAATCCGAAAGCTTGCTTAATAATTATTTTCCAACTATTTGTGTTGGTCTAATAAAAGATATCAGATTCGCCCAAGGAACCTTGTCTACATGAAATATTTACATGCTTATTTGCAAAACCTTAAAGGACTTTTTCCAAAAGTGATAAAGTAATGTCAAGACTGAAAATTCTTGACTTACATTTTGACGTTTGGGTCACAAAATTTATCATTTTCATGCAGAACATAAAAGTATGTTGTATTGCAGATAGTTTAGCTTCTTACCTCTTCCCATTATATTTTATATTTCAGACCTCTTAACTGTACAGTGAAAACTATGATTATTGTGGTGGTTCCTACAGATTCCAGTAAGAGAGCAGTAGCCCATTGTATATAAAGTAGTCTTCATCCCAGTGGGCCTATAGTTTAGGTAGTCAACAGTAGTATCCTTTTCACTTCAAAGTGCCTATCATTATGGACTCCGTCTAGTACTAAATAGTGGATCAAAAGTCCACTGACACCATAGAAAGATTGTACTGGAATTACATATACCTAGCATGGATGTAAAAATCATGATATATTTGTTGCTATCTTAAGGAAAGCTCATCCTCCCCTTGGGATTGAGTTGGGTATTCTGCCCTTCACTGGGCATGTCTACATGTGTAGGCCCTTAATGCATAAAGCAGGTATCAAATTTAGGCATGAATAGCTAAGTCACATTAGTGCACACATAGACATGCTAATGTGCATTAACATGGTGTGTGTTAATGGATACCTACCGTGTTAATGGGCATTAGTATATCTGCACATGCGCTAATGTGACCTAGTTATTTGTGCCTAAAGTTAATGCATCTTAATGTGCATTAGCATGTCTACATGCAGACTCACACCTCAATAGTCTTAATGTACCCTAAGCAAAAGCACATTAAGTTTAGGCACATGTAAATACACATGTAGACAAGCCCACTTGGTAACAGCTATTAACAAAGGTAACAGCTCAGTGACCTAGACTATGCCATGAACTGCTTTAAATTGTGCAGCTGTTAACAGTCTTACATTGATGAAATGATAGCTGGAAATAAATGGGGCATAAGAAAAGTTCAGCTATGCCTCCTTTCCTCAGGCTAGAAGCTCAACCTGGAAACAAACATACAGGATTCTCTACACCACCAGAAGCTCCTCTAGTGGCCAGTTAAGGACACCCCATGATCAGTTTTCACTATTAATTCATCTCATTACAAGGGCATTGCAACTATCATGCTACCAGTGACCTTAATAGGGATTAGAAAATGAGAAAATAAACATCAATGTGTTTTTCATAGAGCATCAGTCTTTCCTACACTCTTCCACTAAAACCAAATTGGATCTGAATGGAAGGAGAAAGGTTCCAGGATGTCCATATGACATTTGTATCACCCTTCCATCAAAATTTAAATGTCCAGGTTTTACTTTGCAAAGAGAAACAAACAACAATTATACAAAAAAAAATTTATACAAAGAAAATTCATTAGGTAGCATCAGATTCATCCTTGGCTTTCAAATTCTAAACTGTCTCCAAATTCACCTTTTATTATAGCATCATTTACTACAATGAATGAACGGTAAGATTTCATACTAGATGATTCAGGAGATTTATTGTAATTAAGGGCATTTATCACTTCTCCCCTATCCCAGCAGCTGGCTCTGTCAAAATGGCTAGTTTTACAAGCTGCTCCTTATCCAAAGTCTGTTAAGTGAGTTGTGTAAAAGTTATTCTTTCCAGCCCAGTTCCTGCT